GGGGGGGGGGGGCTGGACCGCCCCCGGCGGCTCCGCCCCCCCACCACTGTGCACCGCTCTCCCATAGCCAGTCTCGCATGCGCAGAGGTGGATTAAGGTGTACTTGGGACTTGGGCAAACACAAAATTGGAGGGCCCTACCCCCATGGGAGCTGGGCTGCAGGAGAGGTGGGGAGAGGCCCCTTCCCCTCCTGGTGCTGGTGCTGGTGCGAGAGGGTGGGTGGACCTGCCAGGCTGGGGGTGGGGGAGCACATGCTCACGTCTTCTCCCTACTTCCCACCCCCTCCCCCACTATGGCCAAACATACACACACACAGGTGTGTACACAGATGGGCACGTGCTCTACTCTCACTCACATTCTGCACATGGACATACAGACACAAACACACTCTCCCTGCCATGAACACAGGCACACACACACACCGACACGCGTGCACACAGATGGGCGTGCACTCTACTTGCTGACTCTCAGCACATGCATACAGACACAAATGCACACTCCCTGCAGTGAACACACACATGCATGGATGCACACACGCATGCAGAGACGCACACATGTGCACTCACATGCACACACTGACATGCACACAGGCGTGAGCACACACGTGTACACACAAACACATGCGCACACACACACATAGATGCACACAGACAAGCAAACATGCACACACACGCTCACCCAGCCACACACTTTCCCTCCACAGGACCTTTCCAGTTTTTGCTCTCAGCAGTGACAGCTCATACCTACATTGTCAGCAAATAAACAGACGTGGCTACTTTCTATACTTTTGTAAGACCTGTCCATATTGGACATTTCTTTTGTATTTTCAGAAGCTGCTAGGCAGCTGGCTCTCATCCTAGTCGTGTTCTTCAAGGTGAAAGGTTCTCTTGCCTTTTTAGACAAAACAGAAATATGGTCATGTTGAAGAAGATTAGTTTTTCCCCTTCTACCTTACTCTTCTTTTTCTAGGATTTGGATTTATGCCTGTATTAACCTGTTTCTATTATGTTTTTCGTATACTCTTTCCTTGCTTTTACTTAACTCTAAGACTTACATTGACTCTGTCTGTTCATTGTTAGAAGCTTTTTAAAATAATGTTCTGGCTAAACTATTTTTCCAGCAAAAACTTGTAAGCTGTTGGGGATGGGACATGGCTATATACAAAGTGGGTTTATAAGGAGCTGTGTATTATAACCCAGCAGACATGCTCACTATTGCAGACCATGCCTCTTTCAAACGTTTTTAGCACCATTCTTTGCATTTGTTTTCAGAGCTGCCAGACATTTAATCTTAATTAGCAAATACTTGCAAAGAAAAATTTCCCCTTTAAAACTAATAAATTATTTCATTGTCATATACTGACTACGAATTCAATTTGAATATTTACATCCTTTTCAAATAACAATAAACTGTCTTTGTTTCTTTTAGGAAATTTTGAGAGAGCTTGGTTTCAAAAAAAGCAACAGAATGAAAAAACCCAAATTACTAATTGTTAATTGCTGAGAATACTGCAAAACTTAATGATACGTGGAAGTCTGTAAGGATTAGCCATAAATCATGGGATTATGAATAAGTCTTTGTTGTCACAGGCTTGTGTATAGTCATTCGAAAGCGTCTGCCATAAGATGCAGCAAGGCAGCTGTCAGCTGTTTTCTTGTAATTAAACAGCCAATGAGCAGCTAATTAAGACATATGTGTATACAGAAGTGGAAGTGGGTATGTTAATGAACTGTAGGAATCAATTCATTAAATGAAAATTGTCAAAAGACCAAACATGAGATCAGCATTTCAGCCTCTTCCTTAGTTGAAAGGGGAGCGTGGAAAGTAAGATCTGACATAAGTGAAGTGCAGTTGAGTTTCTCCCCTTCCAGGGAGGGAAGTCTACCCCAAAATGTCTGTAACACCTAACTACTGCATAGTGAAGTTATTGAAACTATTAATAGACTTAATGCAAACTGCTATTTACATTTCAAAGTTGCTTTTTTAACAAGCCCTTATTGAAGCTGACTAGCAGATGAAAAGTTTTCTTGCCCTTCCCTCATCCCCATTTTCTCCCCCAACTTGATTTTTTGGCAGTCTGTGAAAACCAGTACAGTATACTTTGTATAAATTGTAGTTTGAAATGCAGAAATGAAGCTAAGCTTTCTAACCTCTCTTTGGTTCTGTTAGAAATATGTTAATAGATTTATGTGAAAAGAGATTGAGGCTGAGATCTCAGCCTCATTGAAGTCAGTGGGAGTTTCACATTGACTTTAGTGAGGCCAGCAGTTCACCCTTTGCATAAACATGATTGCATCAGAAGACATCAAGCCAAATAATGCTCCAAATTTCATCACTGCTACAGCATTTTGAGATGAGGAATGGCACTTATTTTTGTTTTACAGCACATTGGAGCCCAACTTGACTGTGGCCCCTAGGTGCTACCACAAGATAAATACTAAGTAATAAGAACACTGAGTTCATCCTGAATGCAATTTAATACACGTGACTTGTAGCTGCTTGCTATAACAATTGTAACCATTGACTATGTTTCCCCCCAGACGCACCTCCATGCAGATAGATCATTGCCAGTTCAGTTCCTTTGTCAGTAGTGGAACTTGGACAAAAGAAATATTGAATTTTCTTTTTGTTATTTACTTCAAGTAATTACCATTCTTTGGTACTTTCTTTTAATGACTCTTTGACATTAGGGGTTGCATGCATGCATTTTAATAATAATGTGAGAGAATCAGGTCCATTAAAAAGTTTAAAAAGTAAGGGTCACTTGACTTGGATAGGTATGTAAGAACCTTGTGTCTCTTTTAAAAAAAAGAAATCACTTAGGCCAAAGATGTTTGCGCCTATCCTTAGAAACCCAAATCCTAAATTAGAATGTTCCTTTGCTCTGGGGAATTTGTGTTCCTTTTTTAAAAATTGTGGCTTGGATTTTGGTCAAATGAAGTGCTGTTCTTTCTAGCATGAGCATACAATGTAGTTCCGTTGATCCTTAAAAGTGCTACCTGGCATCTTTCTGTTAAGAGCATATGCTTTTTAAAGGTCCCTGGTTTAGATAGTGTGGTTTCTAAGCAGTGCTTCACTGTTGAAAATTTAGCTGCAAGCTGTAACTTTGTTGATAAATTGTACATCAAAGCTGCTGCCAGGCTTGGAAGAAGAACAACAGCGCTTTACTGGAAAAAGCAGGGCATTCGTTCAGCCCTACTCCCCAGCGTCTGTGTAGACTGGGCGTTTCAGTGGGGCTTTTTGGTGCCTACCGAAAGCTGATTCAATCAGCTATTAGATAAAAGTGCCAAACTGCTGAAGTGCACAATCTATACAGAAGTTGGATGAGCCAATTCAAACTAACACAATGCCTGTTCTGGGCGCACACTGTGCGTGGTGCGGGGGCGTGCTGAGCTTTAAGTGAAGTGCTTGTTTTGTTTTGTTTTTTTCATGTCTGTAAGCAGCCTAAGTGTACTGGGAAGCAATGTCTCTGGGACAAATCTAGGAAGAGTAAACATCCCAGCAGTTCCTCTGTGAGAGCAGTGAAAAGAGCTCCCTGATAGATAGTGATCCTCAGTAAGCAGCCACAGAATAACCATATGGAAAGACGCATAAGGATAATTGGCAACTTAGCCACCCAGCACAAATTTGTCTGCTTGCTCAAATTAGGGACCTGCACACAAGAAGGCGCTACATCTTTGGGGCACCTGACCAAGTTCATTTAGTAATAGATCAAGATGCCTTTCATGATCCCAGTAGCTGGCATTCAGAGATAAAGTTTGGACATAATTCATGTAACGTGTAACTAGATATGTGTCAGTGCAGTAAATACCATGGTCTTTTGGAGAGCTGGATGGGGATTGAAAATGCAAGATGTGAAGCCTTAAGTAGGTTTTTTGAGACTGCATCAAAATCTTCTTTCATCTCAGTCAAGAAGAAAAGAATGGGCTCAGAACCACTGCTTAATCTGACAGGTTAGCGGTAGCTGCACTCCCAGCCCCTAAAGTCTAAATAGGTTGCTCAGGCTGACCCAGGAAATGGATATACTGAGACCAGAAAAGGCAATTCTTCTTCTCCATAGTAATTAAGAACACCTCTGCCAGAACGCAGACAAATTGGGACCTCTGGCCTTCAGGAAAAAGGATTAACACAATATTGTATTAAAAGAATATCTCTGAGAATAAAGAAAGGTGTAACTCTTGATACCTTTGTATTAGTATTTCAAAAAATAAGTTGTTCTTTACCTTTTTACTTGATAGTTTTTTCTTTTTTAATTGTGTATTTTTTTAAGACCCAGTTTTCTCCAGGAAATAAAATTATCTCTTTATTTTCTTGAATTGACTCCGCTCAAACTCAGTATTCTATTGAGTATCAGTGTCATCCAGCATCTTGCTTCAATGCTGCTGTACAAGTCTGGTGGCTAATAGCTTCTTGTGTTGAATTTTGCAATTCTACTGCAGGGCTTTTTCAGGAGGAGTCAGCAAAGCAATGCCACGTACTCCTGTCCTCGTCAGAAGAACTGCTTGATTGACCGAACTAGTAGAAACCGTTGCCAACACTGTCGATTACAGAAATGTCTTGCGGTGGGGATGTCTCGAGATGGTGAGCCCTGCTAGTTCAGGTTCCAATTGCCAAGTATAAAATAATATTTAGTGGGCTGTCTGATCAAATAAAATTCAATGTAGGATTTGAGAATTCATATCTAAGATCCTCCAGTAGCTTTTTTATGGGGTGTTCCCAAAAGAAAACCAATCATTGAAACACTTGGGAGGTGGATTTTTTCTTTCCACTTAGCACAGTGCTAATTGATGTCATTGCTTCTAGTTTTATTCCAAGGATGACATTTTTAGTCTAATTGTCGTGGTATTTTTTGTGTGTATTCATGAAATGCAAATACACACAGATGAACGTCCAATTTAAGTTGCACATTGTGTAGCTGCAAGTGAGACTCTTGTCATATTGTTGTAGTCCAGAATTATATCTGAGTCAAATATTTGAATATGTCCAATATGTGTCTATAAAACACATTAACAGAATGGTTGGGGACATTTCCTTTGGCATCTCTAAACTAATGCTGGTCGATGCCAGGGAGAGTATTGAAGTAGGGGATAGATTTTTCTAGAGATATCCAGTTTGGTGCTCTTCCTATGTAGCATCCACTTCTGCCACTGTGGGAGACAGGATACTGGGCTAGATGGATTGATCAGTCCCAGTATGGCACTTCTTATGTTCTTATGTAAAAATATTGAGGCAGAATGAAAACACCTAACTCATTTTTAAACAAAAAGGTAACATACCTTCTCCTTTGTGCAAAATAGCTAGTAGTTTCAGAAGTCAAGGTTTAAGCATTCAATGAGAATAAACCCTTACAGTAAGTGTGTTTAGCAACCTGAACAAATGAAAGGAACTGGACTAAGACAGGATTGGTTGGCAAAAACTTTCATCTGCCTGATGGACCTGATGAGGCAAGTAGTAGTTTAGATCAAAACCCTAAATCCAAAATTACACACAGTATGATGATGACATCTTGTCCACATGTGAAATGGGTGTGCTGCATCTTATGTAAAGCAGTTAAGGATGAAGTCACAACTGACGTTAATGGCATTAAGCATTGACTTAAATGGAGTTGCAGCCACTTATATCAACTAAGTATCTCAACTTCTTACCAATTATCATTACATATTCCATATGTGCTTATGTTCTGTAAACATGCACATTGCTTTGTGCAGATATTTAAAAAGAGCAGGTTGTTAAAAGAGCAGAATGTCTTAATTTTTATGTGCCTACTTGCCATCAATGTTTGGTCTCATAAAAGGCTATATTGCATCTACTGTAGGTCCAAGAAATGCCACGTTCTTAGGAATTCTTGAGATATGCAAAACCCTGGTGCCAGGCCACTTGCTTCTAATTTAATGTGCAAGTTCACAAGTTATAAATGTTTTCTTTTTTGAAGCAGTACATATATTTTATGGGTTTATTGCTGAGTAAGTGTTCTTGCTTATCAGAATGAGAGCAACAGAACGCTAGCCAATGTGTGTCATTATGAGCTGATTCTACAGTTTTCATTTTGCACTTGTTCTGATCTCTCTAAAGCTTGCTATTGAGCCTCTTCCTAACGGAGTCTGTGGATATGCAGCCAATAAAAATTGGGCTATTCATATCAGACCAACAAATTTAATTTTTAATTGTCATCCAACAATAATTTCTAAATGAGATTTGAACATTTAGATGGTATAACTCTGATTTCAGTGGATTTCTATTGAGATGAATTTGATTTATTTTTGTAAAGAGATGGAAGCTAAAGAATTGATATGTAGCTCCAAAATAACCTCAAAACTAAAAGTTAAGTTAAATGTTTCATTAAACATGCTACTGAAAGAGTATAAGAGCCAGGAAAAGGTGCTGTAGTTAAGTTGTGGGCTGCCTATAGCTACCACAAAATATTTTTAGATCTGTCTGTATTACCAATCAGATTTTAATACTGTGTTCATCACTTGAGTATTTAAGCTCTCAAGATTGTCATGTTTCAGTAATGATTTATAGAAGTACGGTATGTTTTGTGCATTTATTTCAGCTGTAAAATTTGGTCGAATGTCAAAGAAGCAGAGGGACAGCTTGTACGCAGAGGTTCAGAAACATCGAATGCAGCAGCAACAGCGAGATCACCAGCAGCAACCTGGAGAAGCAGAACCACTAACACCAACGTACAATATCACCACCAATGGGCTAACAGAGCTACATGATGACCTCAGTAATTACATTGATGGGCATACCCCAGAAGGTAGCAAAGCAGACTCTGCCGTTAGCAGCTTCTACTTAGACATACAACCTTCTCCAGATCAGTCGGGGCTTGATATTAATGGAATCAAACCAGAACCAATATGTGACTACACACCAGCATCGGGCTTCTTCCCTTATTGTTCTTTTACAAATGGGGAGACCTCTCCAACTGTTTCCATGGCAGAATTAGGTAATAAGAGAGAAAAGTTTCCATTGTAATTGCTTTAATAATACCCTTTGGATTAAACATAGCATACTGAAACAGCTGCGAGGGAGAAGGCTGTTTTTGTACAGCTTGTAACAGCATACAACACTGGTCTGTGAAGTACCCAGCACTCTTAACTCCAGTTGGTACTCAGTGGCATTCAGCAGTTTACAGAATCAGACCAAAAAATCCTATTGGCTCCTTGCTAATTGGATGCAGATCGTGTTGTCCAAAGGTGTAACTGTACTGTTCTGCCCTGGTTGCTCCTTCCTCTCCCTTAATTAAGCTACTAGCGTTCCCTTTATTTGAATCCAGCTAGTAGAGAGTATATCATGAATACTGGCAGTTATTTGAACCATTATAGACAGGAGCAAATATGCATAATAGTCATTTATTGGACAAATAGAATTGTATTTTTACTTATATGATTGGACTAATTTTTTCACAGCACTACTCTGTTCTCCAAAAAAAAAGGGGACTGGGACTGATTCTTTTAACTTCTGTGTTGTTTGCACCTGTGCAAGGTGATCCAAAATGCCACAACCCTGTCAAAATGCACTAGGGAATTTTTAATTATAGAAAGTTTTGTTATTTCCCTAAAATCTGTGTTTGACAGTCTTACTTAGTATCCAGTACCCTACAGTTTGCTCTTGGGGGTGTTGACAGACATGAAAACCAATAAAAAACAGCGCTATACCAGAAGAGTCAGTGTATTAATTCAACCTGGCTCTGCAGCGTCTGTATAGATTGGACTCCTCAGCTGGACTTTTTGGCGCTTTTATGTAATAGCTGATTCAGCTATTAGATAAAAGCACCAGAAAGGCCCCCCCTAAAGCACCTGATCTATACAGACATTGGGCAAGCTAGGTCCAACTAATGCAATGACTCTTTTGGGCACATGCTGCGCTTGGCATGGGGGTACGCTAAGCTTAAATAAAGCACTGGTTTTTTTCCCCATGTCTGTAAGTAGCTGGATGTCTCTCTGAGGGCTAAATTCTGCAAAAGTGGCATCACTTACTTTTAGTGCCTGGAATTAGGATGGGCTCTGTAAAAAGGCTTACAAGCCAAGTGGGATGTAGCATTAGACAAGTGTTTTTAAATCCTAGTGTGCTTAATTGAACAGCTTAGGGTTGTAAAGCATTACTTTTCTATATCATTCATGCTAATTACTTGTTTACAAAAAACAGGTAGAAGAGAAGCATTTAGGTAGAAATATCAGAGTATTGTATTTTTGACTTCCACTTCATACATTTATTTAAATAGGGGCAGACATCTTGTATGATTTGTTATTTTACTGGATACAGTTGCATTTGGGTAGCTCCCGACTGAAGTCTTTTCCATCATTTGTAGAATTTGGTTCTCTTCAGCGCATCCCGTTCTAACATCACAACCAGAGGATTTTGTCGCAGTCTGAAATCTAGTAACTTTGATTACAGATTAGTGGAATTGAAGAAAAAAGAATGTCTGGAAATAAAGGCAAAACAAATATATTTGTCTCTGTCACATATTCATGTTTTTATGGAGGTTATTAAAGGATTCAAATTGAACCCATAAACACAGGAATTTTGAGGGTTGGCTTGCTGACTGCAAAGGGTTGTGTGTGGAGCCCTGGCATAAAGTAACAGCTTGTCATTTCAAAGTGTTACAACAACAGCTTCATATTTAGGAAGACAGCCCTATTCAGAAATGTGTCTGAGTATGTAAATACTGTTCAGATTTGGGGGTCTAGGTTTGTGGACAGTCACTTTGTCAAATCTGACTCTCTACATCTTGAAGTACACAGACAGCATTGAAATCCTGCCAGTAGGTTTTAACACGTACACATATGAAATTGTTGGAACATACACAAGCAGTGGTGGCAGCAAAGAATTGCTCTTTGTTACATGTTTGCTTAGTTCAAAGGCTGCATGTTGAAGGTTGTATTTTAAACCTTAATTGAATTGCCTTGTTTTTGGGAAGAGACCTGTTTGTGGGGTAATTTTTATTTCTAAAGAGTATTTAGAAAAACAAAAGGAAACACAACTTTTACAGAAAGGCTGATACGAGAGGCCTTATTGACTCCTTAAGCCACTATTGATTTCCATTCAGATCCATATTAAGACCAAATATGTACATTTCAATCATGCTTCAGCCAAAGTAAGCGCTAGCTGCAGATTTATTTGAGCAAGAGGGCCGAAATTTTGCACTTTGGAGGATCTGTTTTCATGTGCTTATCTTAGGAGGGGGAAAGGCTGACTTCTAAGTCTAAGACACCAGGCTTTCAGAAGTTTACAACACGTATACAAACCATTTACCAATAAGTGTGAGATGTTTTAATGACCAAAAATAATATATGCGTCAGAAATGAGTATGTTATGTAAGATTCAAGCCTGTAGTACAGGCTAAAAAAAAAACGCTTTAAAACTAAAGACATTTTGAGGCTTCAGTTGTATATTTTTCATGATCTTGCTTCTCTGAATAGTGTAGGCATCCTGCTTTTGCAGTATCTCAGTTGATAGCACAAGGGATAAGTTCAGTAGATTTAAAATGCAAGTGATTCAGGATCTTAAGAAGCTGATATGACAAGCCTAATGAGTGGTACTGTTTATTCATGGAGCAAAGAGAGCACAGCAAGACTTTGCCCTCTACGATGTCTCTAGCCTTACCTGAAGAGCCCACTGACTCCTTACCTTCTCTTCTGTGGCTCTAAGAAAGAGTAATTCTTAGCCCAGTTCCTTAGGCAGGGGTTCCACCACACCAAAAACACCAGTACCACAGGGTACCATGAAACTGAATTTGCATTCATGTATGTACTACAAATTTTAACTGAATTTTGTTTTATTTCACCTACTTGTACATGTTAGGTTTCTGCAGAGGCAAAAAATGGCTTCCACTGCTGTTAGAGAAGAAATTCATTTCTCCAAAATTTCAGAATGCATTTGGAATAGATCTCAGTCCAGGCTCCAGTTTAAATTGGCCTTTAACTAACAACAAGACAAAATTGCCCGCTTTGTGTTCTAAAATTTGTTACTGAAAATATTTTAAAACTACTGTGGAATAGTGATGGAGCTGTGTATATGTGTGAATACTGCCCTCTAATGGATGGTATGTGACCTCTGGGAGAACCTTGGCAGGACTATTTGTTTTTCAAAAGTAGGATCCATGGAGATAATAGAAGTAAGAGAATGTGCATTGTAACACTTTTCGAAGTAACCAATATTTGCTAACATGCATACTTTAACTAGCTCTTCAGAAATCATACACGGATAGCTTTTGGGGCTTGGGGGGTTTTTTAATGTTTCACTTCTCTCTCTCTTAGAACATCTTGCACAGAATATTTCTAAGTCACACATGGAAACTTGTCAATACTTGAGAGAGGAGCTACAGCAGATAACATGGCAAACTTTTCTACAGGAAGAAATAGAGAACTACCAGAACAAGGTATGTGAATAACAAAATCAAGTACTTAGGCCTTCCAAAATTTTAAAGCTGTTTAAATGAAATAGCATTTTGCAAAATCTTAAATTCAGCTTGATTCCCCATTTCTTCTCTGTTTGTCATTGGGAATTTGAGGTTTTTTATACATTGATAGATAAATCCTGCACCATTAACTTGTCACTGGGGATAGACAGCAGTCAAGATCTGCAAATGGGATGGGCTTTTCCTAGGTTTTGCATGTGAGAGTTTCCCAGGCTTAGAATGCAAAGCCATAATCCTGATTTAGCTAGCAGTGAGAACAAGGGTCAGAAAAACCAAGGGAAAATTCCACCCTTAAATGGTAGGACATTTTTGGAGTAGTGAAATTGTTCATTTTCCTCTGACCAGGCTCTGTTTGCATTGTTTTGCTTAATTTAATTTATAATTTTCTCAGGCTCCAAAAATGTCTCGTTAGGCAAGCAAGAACATACATGCCCTTCTTATGACATCAGGCTCTGTCAACAGCCTGACATTTTACTGCAATATTTTTCAATTTAAATAATAAACTTCGTATTTACCTTCTGCTGGTTGAACCTCCAAACGTTGTTTTCAAGCTTCACTCCACAACTTGGAGGGCTGACGTTAGTTTTTTTAATTGAAGCTGAGGTTTTCTGAGTCACCTGACACCAGGCTGTCATGCTTTAAGAAGTTCATTGACTATTGTGAGACTTCTGTTAAAAAGGCAAGTCTTGGCGACACTTGTTACTGTGGCAGAGGCTTGAATAAGAAGTTAGCAGGGTGAGATCAGCCAAGAGACATCTTGAAACCGGTGTGTAATCCCCAGTGGCCCTTGGGTCTGTTTCAGCACTGCTTCTTTCAGGCATGCTTTGCATTACTTGTGCCTTCTATTTATCTGTTAATTGGGTTTGTATTGTATTTATTTCATTGTGCCTTTTTGTTCCTTGCCTTTATTAAGGCCTGATGGTCATCTGAATTGCCCAGAAGAAGCCTGGGAAGCCACACTACTTTTCCTGCTCCCTTTTGCACTTTGGGACAATCATGTACTTCTGAGTAATGCCCCTTTCTTAGGCCAGTTCAGCTCACAGAGGAAGTGCAGCTAGGGCTTGCTCTGCTCCCTTGGCTGATAGATAGAGGTGGGGAGGATTACTGTATGCCCTGCCTTTAAAACCTGTGCACAGGGGAACAGAACAAGAAGTGTTATTTATTTCTGTTTTCCTCCTGGTGTGGCAGCTGAAGGCCAAGTTTTGATCTGGCCCCTACATTGTATTAGCTAATTAATATGTCCTGTCAAGGATTTGGTATTTTACATAGTTTATTTCAGTTTTCAGTTTAGACAGTAGAACTGAGTGTCAAAATTCCTGTCATCTATTTTCAGTTTTGCCTTTGACTCTCTGCAACATTGGGCAAATTAATCTCAGTGCCTTGGTGTACCTGTACTGTGGATAGTAAAATGCTGTCCTACCTCAAACAGGCTGAATTATTACTTGTTCCTTTTGTACCTTCATCCAAGGGTAACAAGTCACTTGTCAATCACATAGTTTACTAAATAAATAAATACATAAAAGCATCTTGGGAAGCCCTGTTGATTTAGGTCTAGATTTCATAGGAGACAGAGCCCTTAGTCAAAAGCATGGCATTGTTTACTGAGAGCTTAGTGAAGTCCAGAAGTCTGTGTTAAATTCTGCATTCTAGTTCACACATGAAATCTCCATTTAATCAATAGAAGCTGTACTCTGGTTCCTGAGACAAGATATCTCAGTCTAAATCCCACTGCCAAAACTAAATGGGTGTTATATGTATATATTCCCATTCACCAAATAAGATGATGCCTGTAAGTGGCTAATTTTACCCTCCCATCTCCTGAGTAGTTTTTACTGAGGAATGCTTGGGAGGCTTGGAAGCTCTGCTTTGGTTTTCAACTTAATTTTCCTTTATAAAAAAGGGCTTATGCAGCCTTGAATAATAATCTGTCCTTTTCTCTTTAACAGCAGAGGGAGGTTATGTGGCAGTTATGTGCAGTCAAAATAACAGAAGCTATCCAGTATGTGGTGGAATTCGCCAAACGCATTGATGGCTTTATGGAACTCTGTCAAAATGATCAAATTGTGCTTTTAAAAGCAGGTACGTGGGGAATTCTGAGGCTCATTTCTAACTAGCTCTAAACCTAGAGAGGTGCTATATAAGTAAAAACACTGAAGTCAATTTTTACTACAGATGTTTCCTAAAAAACTGATGGAAAAACAAATGAGTTTCATAGTGTTTTCTTTGAATTCATATGTCCATCTTGGGCATTCTGGATGGAAGTAGGCATTAGGCCTGTGTGAAGCAGCTAGTATTCGATTTTGATTCAGTGATTCAAATCACTGTCCTGATTCAATTTGGCTGAATCTGATTTGGAGATTTGGCTGTTGCCAAATCTCTGAATCAGCCAGGCCCATCCCCCCCCCCGCCCCC